GTGTGCTCTGGTCCTCATTCGACAAGCAAGGTGAGTACTCTCTGCCATGATGCGTACAAACAGACACAGATACACAGCCAGAAAAAAAAGCCTCACACAGATACACACCCACTCGTGCCACGACTTGCTCGCTTACCCAGAGCAGTTTCGGTTTAATGCTTGGAAGCATTGGATTTAAGACAGCCTTGGTTGTGTGTTTGACATGTGCGTGGAGTACAGAATGGAAACTCTAGGAAAACGCCACCTGCTGCTGAATACTGCTGGCTCATTTGCAGATGGAAACGATCCCCCCCTGGAAGTGAGACAAGAGAACTACGACATATAGAACTGCTGCGGTGTATTTTCTTTTTCCCCGCTTTTCATGAAGGCTAAGCGGCGCGGCGAGCTCCGTCCAGCAGGAACACTGAGAAAAGGGAGCACCAGTACAGGGGGTTTTGGGCCCTGAATCCAAGACTGGAGAGTTGAAGTGCGCTTGTGTCCGCAAGTCAGAGTAGCTGCAGATTTGAGATGGATCAGGTAATGAGATATGAGCGAGCACCAGTACTTTTTATTAGAAGCTTTGTTTCAGGGTGTCGTGTTTGTGAATGTGGCGTTCAGTCATCGTTCAGGAACGCTGGGTTAGGAAACTAGGCTGGTAGCTGCATTTGAGCAGGTGCTGGGCCCCGACCAGAGTTGATGATTCCGATTATCAGTTGATGCGGTTCAAGGATGCAGAACTCAATCAATAGCAGGTAAGTTCAGCCCTGCTTCAAGGGGCTGGGGCGAATCCACTCCCAGACTGAGCAATCGGGGGAATGATCTTTGGAAAATCCATGTTCATCCAGTTCGAAGGCTGCGGGCAGATCTTCAATATTTTCCCCCAACCCCAGGGCGAAAGAGGGATGAGTGAGTCTCATGGGTCAAAAGGTGGAAGGGAGTATGAAGAAGGTGAACATAGGATTGCAGCCACATTTGCCAGCGCACTCGCCCCTGCTGGCCCCCACAGTTTGATTCCCCGACTTCGAGACGCAGTAGTGCTGATAAGCAGAGCCTCACCAGGACGAGTCAGCTACAATTGGAAAATGTGTCTTTCGCAGAAGAAGAGTTCAGTGCATGGCCCGCTGCCCCACGATCTTCAGCCCGCAGATGAAATTCCGCTGCGGCGGTTTTCATCCACGCGGTTGAGTCTGGGGGCTTGTCCACCAAAGCGTGCTTCATTGAATCCAAGTTTTAAATTATGGTGGGAGCCGCCCTGGAGGTCTATTTTGTGATCTGCATCTACGACCCTGACTCTCCTCTGAGTGCGCTCATTGGAATCGGTCCATCAGCTGCAGTACTGCCAAATATGATGAGGGCGGAGCTTAACTTGTACTAACATGGAGGCGAACATTAACTTATCCCACTGACTGAAGGGGACGGCATTAACATAGTTGTAGGTATCTCAACTACTGGCTGTCAGGCCCCAATCTGCGTTACGAACGGACCTGCTTTTATCCCCTCTATCCATTCTTTTTTACACACGGCAACCATATGCTTGAATAAAGAAAAAATAGATCACCGCTCACTATTGTCACATAATACCAGTCGTTTAGACCTGCACAGCCTAGTGCCTGTGAAACTCAGTGTCAAACTAGAAACCAGAGGAAACTCTTCGAAAGGGGAGAATCTGTAACGGTGGCGAGGACCACCGCAGATCCAAGTCAAGCCGGACCTCTGAAGACAACCCCCCCCCCCCCCCCTCTTCCCACTGAGGGTGATCCCCTTGGTTCCCGATGAAGACAAAACAAACAAACAGGTTTGGCATACACGCAGGCAGGCAGGCAGGGTGCTAAAAGAAGAAGAAGCTTCAGCTGACTTGTCCTCCCTCCAAATAAGTTTGATTGTGAGAGAGAGAAGAGATGGATCGCTTCCTCACACTCAGCATCACGCTTCCGGTGGTACCGCCCTGACTGAGTGGTTATACAACGCCTCGGAGTCTGCGAAACCTCTGGCCAAGACTTGTCTCGACATTGGCGCCGTCGTCCTCAGGGACACATGTATGCACGCACACCATCACCACCACCATCTCCAGCAGCATCAGCACTACACTTGCAACAGCAGCAGCAGCCACCTCTTTGTCTCCTCCTCCTATCTCACTTATTGCCAGGCACCGCCATCATCGCTTGCTTGCATTCACTTGGAGAGCTGTACTAATACTGTCTGCACTGGCAAGGCCCGGTTGCATCTGCCATGGACAACCCTACACCACACCGCAACTACACCACAACTACACCACACCACATCTACACCACACTGGCTCTGCAAAGCAATGGATACCACAACCACAATGCCGTGTTGCACTCGGAGGTATTGAAGGATGAGGAGTAGTTGAAGGAAACTGGGATTGTAGTGATGAAATTTGCACTTCATACATTTTGCAATTTCGGAGCAAGCGCAGCAGGTGCCTCTTGGTTGATTGGTGTTTTCTCCAAATAATACCATGAAAACTTGATCTTACTTTGTTTGGTCTTCTTTATGGTCCTACAAGGTAAGCAAAAGCTGTTTATGACAAAAAAAAAAAAAACAAAACAAAACAAAACAAAAACAAAAAAACAACAATATTATTTTTACTACCTTCCTAACTTTTATTTATTTTCTAAAATAAAATTTTATTATATTTTTAATAAAGCCATTTTATAATACAATATTTCTTTTATTTCTTTTATCCAATAGCCATGTTATAATACAACAATGGATCTTGAACTTTATCAACTTATGAAACAAATTGAATATTCCTTATGGAACTTCTAGCCTAAAAGTGGAGATTATATAACAGATATTTATAATACTTAAGTAAAGAGGAATAAATAGAAGTTAGTAGAAGTATGTTAGAAAGATAATATTTTTTTAAAGAAGTTTTGAGAAAGTTTTATAGATACAAATTAGATGTTTAGACTTTTATAGATATGCCATGTGGCCATTAAAACTTGTGCAACAAGTTTTCTACTTTTGAAAAGCCACATTGGAAGCAATTTATAATTAATTTTTTAAGTCACATGCCTTGTGGTTCTTAAGATGCTTTTACAAGACCTTCTTCACAACTAGTATATATATATATAAAGAAGACTAAGGCCATCCTTAGTCTTATCAATACTTTTTTTGTATTTCTAGTCTTAGTTTAAGACTTTCTAATCTCTTTGTATTTGACAAAAGCTATTTTAGTTCTTTTCTATCTTGTAACTATTTCTTCTTTTCTTATATTTTTATTTTTTATTTTCTTTATAGTGACAATTTATGTCCTTGATATTTATTACAAGCAAGATTTACTAATAGCAAGAAACCTATTCAATTATTTGTTAATAGTTTATATTCTATTAAAAATAATATATCAATTTTTTATTCATAAAGTTAGTTTTATTATTTTTTTCAAGATAATTTTTTATACAAATATTTGAAACAAGATCTTCCAAAAAGAATTGTTTTATTTTAAGACAAGAAAACTTTAAAATATTTCTTATGAAATCATTTTAATATTTATTTTTGATATTCATACACAATGAATTAAAATAATAATATAAAAATAGATAATAAATCTCTTATAATTATGAGATTTACTAATATAATTTTTTGATACAAAATAGAAAAAAATATGATGCAAATATGTAAATAAAGAGTTGAAAGTAAAGAGTGGCATTCAAAAATTACCTAAAAACCTTAGACTGATACCTAAAGAAGGTCAATTGTGAATCAAAGTTGGAATCAACTTATGATGTATAAAATTGTGCACTTACAGCAAATGAAAGATTCTTTTGTTAATTAAAAAGTAAGGTAGAAGAACAAATTTGATAGAATTTTTGAAAACATTAGATTTGAAGGATATGAGTAGATAATGACTTTATTAGAGCTTTGCAAAGTTATAATTATCTTTGGTAACTTTGTTTTTTGTAGAATAAAAAAGAATATACATTTTGATGAATTATATAAATTTTTAAGAAGATTTTTAAGTAATTTTTTTTGGAATTGTGAATATATTTGTGTTGGATGTTTGTTATTTAATTGATTTAAATTGGAAAGTCAAATCAAAAGAAATAAAAATTCAAATGAGTTAGGTTTTCAATAGATGGATTTTGAAAGTCAATAAAGATTCCTATGGTTTTGAGCAATATGCTAGTTGGATTAAAAATATTTTTTATTTTTTCATAGTTGACTTAGTTTCCAAAATTTATGCAAGTTTTGAGAATAAGTAAATAATTCAAAAAGAATCTATTAACATTAGAAGATTGACATCAAGATTGGAGAAGAAAAACGACCAACATTCAAGAGGATTATAAGCATTTTTTCTTAATTTTATGCTTATTACTAATTATTAGATTCAAAAGCATAACGTTGTTTATAGAAATTAATATTCAATCTACTTTCTCCTTGATATTGTCTATGGTTGTTTATTGGTTTTTTCTTACGTCTTCAATGAAATTCAACACGAATGAAGCAAGTTACTCTAAGGGTACTGAAAAAACTCCCTAAATAAAATAAAATGGTGACTCTTCCTGTGAGAAGGCTTTCAACATCTATAGAGTTAGATGACTGTTTCTTTTCGTAGTGTACTGCAGTTACTTTCGTGGGATATGCAACTGGGCAGGTCAGTCCAAAATCGCATTCAGCTGGCAACGTCGGTGGTACCACTGATACCCTTGCGCCTTCATGATCACTACTAAAAAGGATGGAACACCCCGCAAGCAACCCAGTTCGTAAATCTTCTTATGTCAGTAAGGGTTCAGGGGAATTCCTGGCTCGCACTGACTGACTGATGAATTCGATGGATAAGTTCTGGTCTTAGATTTGCAGTCGACTGGTGCAAAACTTTGCTGACTACATTCCACACCCTGCAGAGGGCATGATGTTACAACCTGTTGTAAATCATCATTCAAGTGACCGTGGAGAAAAACCAACGTCTGGTTTGTTGGGCATACACATTCAGAACAAGCTAACGTTCAAGACAAAAACATTACACGCCGTACACATCAAACGTTAGCAGTCATAAGTTACGTCGATGCTTTCCAACATTTTTACATCAATCATAACATTTAACCATGGATTTGACCATGGAATTTAAAATATCAGGGTTGGGAAGAGTTGAGAATGTTGCATCAGCACCGTCAGCTAGGAAGTTGGGGCGCAGCCTGTTCTTTGTCAAGTCATGCCGCCCATACTCTGAATCTGTCTGACGGTTCTTCGAAAGCTCATCTTAGTAAATTGCGACCACCATCGTTGTCTAGACTTCAAAACTGCGGAACATGATAGGTACCTGCTCTGATTTATTGAAGATGTACTCACCAAGGTTATTTAAGCAGTCCTGCTAGTTACATAGGACCAGTGATGAACACTCCCGTCCAATTCGCACGGAGCATTTACAGTCGCCCGTCAAGAACTGGATTCCACCCTAGACTGAGCATCTTAACTTCCTCCATCAGGAATCTCCTCAACTTGAACCAGAACCACCAGGACTTTCCAGTTTTAAGTCATAAAACAATTCAGAGATGTTCGATCTTGAACCGATAATCCTTGGTGCTACCTTGGGTCCAACTGATGTCCTACTATTTAAAGATCTAACTGAGTCTCCTTTCCTTGGTGTGGGTGTTCGAAAGCCACTCGGTATCTTCACACTTCCAGATCTAGTCTTCTGGGATATACCCGCAGGCTCGCTAATGTACCTGCAACAAATGAAAACGTCTATTCAAACTTCAAAATCCATACTCGTCATTCTAGCCATGAATAAACAAAACAATCAACTGGATAATTTTATTTGTATATATATATATATATACTAGCAAATAAAAAGCACCATTCTAAAAAAAGGTTTTGTATTGGAATTTCCACCCAACAGAAGACCGCTATCTGGAAATGTTACACGACGGTACATACAATCAGAAAATTATCGGTAATTTACCTTGGATCTTCAAAGAAGAGTCGAATCCGCTCATCAGATAGTAGCCAGTGCTCCTTCTCTTCCTTCATTTGTAGCATACATAGTCTCAAGGCGTACTGCACAAATCAATCAGTTACATTTTGAATCATAGGATAAGTGAAACTTAGATAAGCAAGATGAATGTGCATTCGATTACAAACTAAATTTTCAAATCAAGGAATTGGGTTCTTGCATCCAGGATTTGAATTTGACACAAAAAGAATAGAAAATCACTTGAAAGACATTCAATTACTTAGTGTATCTGGAGACTCACCTCCAACATCCCCAACTTGTACACCTTCGACCCAAATGTTGACTCCAGCTCCAAAGTATCACTTTCTTGACCATCATGACTAGGATTTCCATCATGGCCTCTAGCATCGTCCTCGTTACCAGCATCATTTTCACCTTCGATACACTGTAAAATCAACATGCTTTAATATACACAGAGACAACACACGTATTCACGCCCATACCCCAGTCCATGGAAAATAACAATTTTTAGGGCCTAAAAACATCAACAATACCCACAAATTAATGCAGAACCGTAGTCAGGTCATTACACTTGAATGCATGTAAAACTGCAAGATTATCTCTCCAAAACCACACTGCTCCATAGACAAAACCAAAGAATAGAAAGGCACTTCAATGTGTTCCCTCAACTTACACCATGTCCTTAATTTCATACTACTTTATGTAGGGGACCAATATACCTGGAATGCATAGTGGTTCGATTCCTGCAAATCACCAAGGTGTGGTTTCAGATACAAAATACGGATACAAACATTAAGCTCTCGTCCATCCACCTACTCTACCCTATCCAAGCACGTCCTCAATGATACGCTCTGATGCAAGCATGACGGAGACTAGTCCGAACACCAAAAACAACCAAGTCGGTTTCTGACTTCAGGAACTCAATGGACTTAATCAAAAAGTATAAAGAATGCAGAATTTAATTTCAACAGATACACTAGCAGACCGAATTGCACGAAAATACTGTCTAGCTCCATTTCAAGTTATACTCAAATCTGCAACTCAAAGAGGGAAAACGTACCAAAAGAGAACTGCTTGCAGAGCTATCCTTAGCAATCTCCGCGACAGATCCAGAAGAAACCACCGCGTCTACCAGCAAAACAGCTTCTAACTCGTGCTCACCAAGTCCAAGAACATGCAATGTGCATGAGCCTGGCACCCACCACACATACACCCAAATCTTAACATATATGATGAAACTGTTCGATTTCCATAAAAACCAGAGGGGAGTTTAAAGCAAATTCGTAGACTAGTAATAAAAACGAGCAATTGCATCTCTTACAGATGAAGTTGCCTTGAACTTGATGAAACCAACAAGATTGCAACGGGATCATATCCAGACATGATGCTCGCTCAAATTAGGAAATTCACATGGTTAAAAAGAATGCGGAGCTTTTGAATAAAAGGACTAGCCAAAAAGCTCGTTCAAGAAGGAAAAAGGACAGACCAACAGCAGAGACATGCGATACTGGAAGGCAAATGCACATAAGGATGTCTCCAGATTCAGATTCTTCTTCCTGGTAGTCATTATGCAAAGTACTTTTTATAAGAAACCCTAAACGGGTTCACAAATGTATAAAGCATTCAGCAATAAAATCTCTCTTTCCAATTTGAAGAAATACTGCACTTACATTGGTGATAGAAAGCACAAACTCAGTACTTCCCAAACCAGGCATAGCAACAGCTTGCTTCAGAGATACGCAGCATCTCATCATTTTCTCTTGCCACCGTGGCAACGTCAGTTTTGTCTCGTACTTGTACATTTTAGCACGAAAACTTATTACAGTTCCTTCCCTGTCATTAGCTGTACGAATCTGTCGTTCATGGACAATTTACAGAGCAGATAACTGAGAACCTTAATACTACCGATATGACGTTTTCTGCATCACGGAAAATAGTGAACACTTCTATCAATATACTAGATCAAGATCTTTGTTTTATTTTTAAATCGGTCTAATCCAAAATATTTGGAATGAAGTTGCAAATTCTCACCAAATGACTAGCCTGCATGAGTCGTGAAGGCGACAAGCCTGAGTCTGCTACTCTTAGAAGAGACACAGCATTGACTGCCATAGAAAGATATGGCAAGATTGAGTCCAACCTACAATCACAAAAAGAATACTTGTGACATGCACAGACAACTAGAACCAGCTATAATATAATCTGCGACCATCAAGAGCACATATCAACCCCTAGAGATTTCATAGCTTCACTGATGAAGAAGCCGTGCACACGTGGACATACCGTGTCATGAAACCCTGTAGCCGGGCGACTGCATCAGCTTGGGAAGTTTTCACAATGCTCTACAAAAGAGCAAACAAATCAATTTTTAAAATTAGCACCACATACCGTTCCGGAAACCATTCATCCTTGGGATTCTTAAACCAACTGTAAGAGCACCAATTACTCACCTCGTTATATGCTTGTGCCTCGAGCTCTTCTTGAAAGCTCACAATATCGTTAATGACACGAATTGCCATGTCCAGTGCACCCTAGTTCCAGTCCAACCCACAGTAAGAATCTTTTACTAATCAACACAGAAAATCACAGGATAGTCAATGATTTCCTAATAGCAACATATTATAGTGTTTCTAAGTTCCCTGATGCCACTTACCTTCGCAACCAGGTCAACTTTAGGGCAGAATGGAGACTCAAAGATAGCAATCGCATACACGCACCTGAAGTGCTGTATTCCCATGAAGTACATACTGCACACACATGTCGACTGGTAAGCTCAACACCTGCAAATCGATTGAGAAAGATGAAGGTTCAGTGCGGCATGCCTTTGACAGCTCCTTGGAACAGGAGTTCTACGAACTGATCTCGTGTAAGTATTATTCAACTGCTGCAACAAATACATGGAATGCACTTTACGACGAAGACAGAGCAGATTGATTTTAGACGAATGACAAATTTATAACTGCAACAACAGCAGAATCGGAGGAACTTCAAGTCCTTTATTGATAAGTCGCCACATTGAGCGCATGAAGAGATAGTCTGACAAACACTACACCAAGCACAATCCAAACGTGGGTCCACCGACTCGCCTGTAGTCGAGATTCAAGTTCCTTCTGCAGCAATTGGAGCTGCCAAGAACAGACTGTTAGTAAAAATCCACGTGAAGGAGGTGAGCTTCACCACTACCCACTCAAGTTCAAAATACCATATCCCACAACAGTCGGACAAAGTAAAAGGCATAAAATCTCTTTTCAATGTAATACTGAAACAAAACCAAATACTGAAGCAGCGCATTCACACACAATTACGGCACGGGATAAATAAATCACGCACAAAGAAGATGAAGGCAGCCAAAAACCTGAAGCTCAATCTGGCCACGAAAGCGCACGTTAAGACGTGTGAAAAGAGACGAAAGCGAACGTTGCGCCACAGCCTCGAACGTCTTCTTCACCAACACTGAACCAGCATATAAAGCGGCCGCGGATCCCACGTCCATGGCTGAACTCCTTCTGTTTCTTCAAGATCTCCTCTACTCAAATTCACAAACAAAAGAACATCTGCTCTACTGCTGCATTCACGCTAGTCCAGTCTAATCTCGCAAACGATGTCGTCAAAGATAGCGGACAAACATTATTTCAGACACAATCCATGTAATCACGCCTACCGGTCCACCCGCGGTTCCTAAAAATACACTGTGCATCCGATATTTACCCGTAACAGGCGGCCTCACTGCATACTTCGTACAATGCTATTATCATTCCTTCGAGGATTAAAACTTGCATGCAACTTCAAAAAACAACACGACAAATCCCCGATTGATTCCTCTGCTCTAAAGCCAGAATCACTCTGAGGCCATTCACGAACTAACTACATGTAAATCGACTCTCGTCCCACCAAAACCTCTTCAATATCCTCAAGTGCGTGCCATCGAGACCTCGCCAAGAAATCCAACCACCGATATCTCAAATTCTGATTTAACCGTAAAAAACATAAAAAAAATAAAAACACCGCGCAATAGCATCAACTTCACTCAGAAAGGCCAACCAAATCGAAACGTGCACGAAAAGCACGGAAAGCGAGTGTATGAGTTATTTTCTTCTAGGAACTGAAACCCTAGCAGTACTCCATCAATTCAGAAGATTGAGAACAAATCGAGCGAGGCCGAGAATTCTTAACAAAGGAGGAATGAAGTTGGTGAGAGGGGAACTGTAACGTTGTGAGGATCGGAACAAGCAGGCCCTGGGAATTTTGAATAGTTTGTCAGCTGAACTGCGATGGAGAAAACTCATGGTCATCCATCGTTTGCCATGCTACGCCACCAGCATAACATCCCTGCGGATTCACGTTGACACGGAATTAGGTTCCTTTGGTGTTAGGACCCATGTAGTGTTAGGTCCAAGTTCATTTGGAGCCAAACCCATTCGTTACGAATTGGCTTATTAATTGACTTGGTTGTATGTATATATATATATATATATATACATATAATATGATATAAATAAAAACCTGGAATTACATTGGGTTATACTACATTTTCCCTTTTATTTTTTCCCTTTTATTTGTTCATTTATTTTTAATAAAATACACTAAGTGTACATTTTTTGCCCCAGTGTTAGTGTTATTTTAGTGTCATGTATATGATTTTTTTCATAAATTAATAATTGATCACCTGCTTTCACTTGAATCTTTTATATGTGTTTATGGCATTTAAATAATCACATAGATAAAGTAAAGAATTAACAAAGAAATTAAATCAATATAAAACATAAAACATGAAAATATTATTTGCTTATTTAGTTTTTGAAATTAGTAACATTAGATAAAATAAACATATCATAAGTGTACTACTATGTGAACTTATTATGATAGATCATTACAAGTAAGATTTCCAATAAATTTAGCTAAAATGAACATCAAATTCTAATTCTTTTTGCACACACGTACACAGTGTGAAAGAGGGGAAAATAAATTATCAACTAATTATAAATTTAAAATCCATGAATTCTTTCATACTTTTTCTTTAAAAATCTCTTCAAACCTAACTGTATAAAAATCCTCTATGTTTTTAAGATTTCTTATAAATTAAATACAGAAATATTTAAATGAAATATTCAATTGATTAATAAGAAGAATTATTATATTTTATATAGTAATCATCAGATAGTCATTGTTTGTGATTTTCTATTTTTTATTTTTTGTAGAACATATATATATATATATATATATATAGTAATCATCAGATAGTCATTTTTTATGATTTTCTATTTTTTATTTTTTGTAGAACACATATGTGTATATATATATATATATATACAGGATGAGACCAAATAAGATGGAATATTTTGTTTATTGACTTGATTCAAATATCAATAAGTGAATGTGTAATATATAATCATATTCATCTATCATACATGTAAAAAAACGAAAAAAATTGACATAAACAAATCAAGTTACAAATGTAAAAACAAAAATAATTGTAAATTTATTATAAAGTAGATACATAAATAAAAATTTATTGACTTGTCCTTGTTTGAATGGAAAGATTGGAGATTGTAAATGTAGATTCATGTAAAAATAGGATCTTTTATTTTTATTTTTTAAAATATTCAATTAATGTTTGCAGATAAATACTGGTTTTATAGCATGTGTGTGGTATGGTCATTGTACATGTCAAGGGTTTAAATATAGAGAACCAAGGATTAAAAAGTTAAAAAATAAAATAAAATAAAATGATATTTTAGATTTGAAACAAGAATAGATACTAGGTTAGAAATAGTACAATAATAGGATTGTTAAAAATAATTATTGGCAAGATCAATGTGTCTCTTGTTGTCTCCTTAATACACAATAACAACTTAGTCTTGTGGAATTGTCTCCTTGATACACAATAACAACTAAGTCATGTAGAATTTTCCAAGGGAGGTCCTAAGACCAATTCCATAAGTCTACAGAATCCTCTATAGATACTTTTAGAAACTACAAAAAGTTGGGGATCCTTTTCACATGTTTTTAGAAACTACGAATAGTTTGGGATCCTTTTCACATGTTAATGATGTTTTACATATATATTTTTAATATTTTTCTCATTATTAAATTAAATGTTTGAATTATCAAAACAAAAAATTATTGAATAAAACACACATAAACTAAAATATACAAAAACTGCAATCAATGACAACACAACTCTAAATCAAATCAAGGTAGTATAAAGTAGATCTTATACATTTTTCGAATCAATTTCAAATGAATAATATAGTAGACCTTGCATAAAGGTTCTTGCATAAAGGTTGAGACCAACATTAAGAAAGTTGTAATATGCCAATGAAGTAAAACAAACAAACAAACAAACAATCAAACCAAGCAAGAGTTATTTTTAATTCTTTATTTTCACAAAATGTGTGAAATCCAACACACTTCAATAATCGAATTTTGACATATAAACTGTTATTGATGTAATTTAGAAGTTGTAAAGGTGTATCAAATGGAGTTGCCAACGGCATTCATCATGTTCCAAATAAAGAATCTGGACTCCTGATACGAATAAGTAGGAATTGATGAAGTGATTTGTTGTGTACATTTTCCTGCATTGAATGTGTATTATATTGAAATAATACATCAAAACACCACCCCTCAATACATTCGCAAAGCTTTCTTTGAGAATGTACAAGTCATCAAACACTTGATGACAACAATTTTCAGACTCGTACACTCCTGTGAAGCTACACATGCAAGGTCACAATGTGCACAAGGAGAAAACGAAAGTTTCATCCGCAAGGACTCTACAGATACAACCAAGGGTATTCCTTGATGTACCACGAAAATAACTGGATGCTGTAAGTCTCATAGATCGCGTCAAATTGAACCATTATATACACATGTGGAGTGCATCCCTCGCACGCTATACGATTTATATCTAACGTCATACCAGATGTTGGCTAACCCAGAAAACCGCTTCCTTAGGGAATTAATGAATCCCTGAGAAGCATTCAAAGACAATTCCTTTGTCTACCTATTGATCACCAAAAAAATTACCTTCAGTTAAAAATAAGAATATAACCAAACTTGTTAGAGGGTGAAGAGGTTTGCAATTCTACGCTTAAACTGTGGCAGACGCATTGGGCTGAAAGTGAGCCTCGGAGACCACATTCTGTGTAGCATAATACACGTGTAACGGCTTGTTGCAGGAGAGCAGGGATGTGGAGGAGACAAAATTAGCTAGTCCTTGGAAAGGACAGGGTGGAAGCTTGAGCTCTTCGGACAAATCGTCTGCCAGGACTTGAAATGACTTGTCGTAGAGAAGTAAGCCTAGCTCATTACGCACAGAAACGCACCGATAGACAGGGAACTTGGAGCCCCACTTGGCGAAGAAACTCTCAAACAACACTGCGTCCTCAATCTTTTGCTCTTTAGAAGGATTCAGCCTGCAAAAAGAAACTCCCTTGGTGCCTTTGCAATCGTCCTCGCGAACCACCATGTACACTGTGCCCTTGCATTCCACGACTTGCACTCCAATCTTGCTTCCTGGACATCTTGGTTCACATCTGTACAGAAGCTTCTCACGGAACACGCCCTCGTAAATGTCGTACACAACCAGCCCCATTACATTGCTATTCCTTAGGATGCCTTCCTTGGCCACGAAGTAAAAAAAGTTGTCACAACATGCTCCCACCTGGGGAGGAAAGCTTAGCTTGTACTTTCTTTCAATGACCGATAAGTTATTGTCGACGGACCACATTTGCGTAAGAGAGTCGTAAATCTCCATGTGAGCAAGGGCTTGAGGACACGTTCTCTTGGTAAGCACTAACAACTTGTAGGAACTTGTGAATCTGTTAAAGATCATATGCGTCAACAGCCAATTATGCTGCATCATGGAGTTGCCAACGTGCATTGGCGGTAGCTCTCTACAGCTCGCTGTGACAGGATTGAAGACAAACAAACTCGCAATCCCTTGCTCATTCACGTCTCGGAAACATAACAGTCCCCCGTCTCCTGCAATGAATAAGATGTACGTTTGATCAGGGGAAAAACCTTGACACTAGACTAGTTCGAGAGACTCCACGTCATCACTCCACAACACCTACACACGGCATCGACTCGAAGTGTTTTGTTGCGAAAGTAGAACATCCGGTACCACCTCGCCCACAAAGAGACATGAATCTTCCTGGCTCCAAGAACAAATATGACTAGGTCATACTGCCACGTGGAAAAGGAGCAGAATGTTCATATTCTAATCAACTGGATAGAAGCGCAATCAAATAAATTGATTGAAAGGGATGCAGGGGGAGGGTTTGATCAGAACTGTCAGAGGAACACTACAAGGGAAGAAGGAAAACCATATAAAGTTAAAACTAATATTAAAACACCTCCACACACATATACAAAAGACGGGATTGAGCTTCTGGTGACAACAAGATGCCTCAACGTACTGTAAATCAACACTGATGATCGTTCCAAGTATATCGAAGAACAAGAACCGCAGCACTGGGATAAACAAAAGGTAGAAGAACAATTCCTCACCTGCTATGCAATCTTTGGCTCGAGGATCAAGTCCCCGCATTGGGGGCATGCACAACCATCGATTCGCTACCGCATCAAAAGCAGTGCACATGTTCTTCCCCTCAATTGTGGCAAAAATAAGAAGATATTGAGATGTAGGAGACAAGGCATTCCATGACTGAACACACGCCCGAGCTTCTTGAAACTTCTCGGAAAACACAAAATCCTTGAGTCGTTTGTTCACGGCCCGGCACCTAAAAAGACCCGGAAAAGGCATGAAAGCCGCCACTTTCTCCAACAAATCATCGGGAAGAAATTTCCAAAGCCCGGGATCTAGAAACGCAGTGGCTGTGGGACACGCTTTCCGCTTCTTGGGCTCCGGTTGCACAGGTTTGTGCGGCGATGACATCCAGTTGGAGTGTTGGCATCCAGAAGAAATGCGTAGTGACACAGAAATGAATCCTCCACTACGAAACCTGCTGGTGCTTGGTTGAAAGTGTCGCACCTGGTAACTCATCACGGTGGACTTGATACACCACCAATAAAATGATACTACGTCTCTTGTACCTTACTTGCATAGCCTACACTCCTTGGGCTGCAAGTGCTGTACTAAGAAAATACTCCTTGAAGAACTTTGTCATTCATAACGATTACTTTTTGTGATAGAAAAAAGTCGGAACAAGAGCACACACTAAATCCTTCAAAATTCTACGCAAAAGATGCGCTAACAACCGCTCACAAAAAGGATGGAACCATGGACCTCACCGAAGAGCTCGATACTCTGCAGTATCAAACATATTCTATACATCTCTCACCATAGCCCGTAATTGTTGCTGTATCAAAAGCAAACTCCTCAGCGCACTCTTGAGCTTTAACAGGCTTACTGTAAAATTGAATTTAGAGCTTGTTTACAAGCCTCACTCAAACTCAGGCACCTCCTAGGTGTCGCTCAAGGGCAAAAGAACTGTACGGCGACAACACCGACGTTATCTACCCTGTTTTCTTCAACACAGGAGGAAAAAACCTACCGATAAATAGCGCCTAGAAGAAACAAGGCAGAACAAGAGACTCTCGGCTAAATGGAACCGAGCTCTTTCAACCAGGGAATGAACACCACAACTGAGGGTTGAAACGCAGTCCGACAAAAATTAGTTCCACTTTCATAGCACAAGCCGTTCGCACCTCACTAGACTCGCAAGGTCGGTGTCTCTCTCTCTCACTCACTCTCTCTCTCGACTACACCGAATGATTCATACAACATCTGCAATTATCGCAATCAAATCTTCGAATGCTTTTCGGCTCTGAAATGCAATCGTAGCAGGAACCTTCGATGGAAAAACCCAACTGGTGCCGCAGCAGCGGAATTCTAGCGCTTCACCTCTTTCGCTCGTAAGTGTCTAGTTTGCCTCCCACTGTCCCTCTCTCTCTCTCTCTCTCTCTCATGCCAACGACGCTAGGGGAAAGAAAAAAAATAATAACATAAATAAATGAATTAACTAAAGTTGGTTCCCGCTCTAGTAGCCTTGTTCAACACCGCTCACGCCGCAAATCACACGTATTTTAAACACTTCTCACAGACCCTTCTCTCGATCACCACAAGGATACCCAGAAGAATACAAAAACACCATACCAACGAGGACCAACGAAGCTCACCCGTGATGTCCGTACTCTCTCGTGCCAATGCAGATGCCAGCTACAGTAACAGTAATTCAAAAACTAGACTGGTAATGAAGCCTTGCGACAAAGGCAAGTCGTAAGCAATGGCAGTTCCCATAGCTGACGACAACCGAGACCGCGAGGCGCAGGACGATTCCACCCCGGAATTAGCATTGATTAGTAGGAAGCTTCCTAACTGCCCCACCATCCGACTCTTATCCCACTTCTACCGGTCCTTCAGGAGCTTCCAAACAGAAATAGGCTCTCTTCAACTGAATTTCCCACGATGGTTAATGCTGGATTGCACCCTCGTTAGATTACACTTCGTTGGGTTAACTTAGGCACTGTGAGAAAGTGAACGTGGTCCCGAAAAGGATACGAAATGGGGTTCATTGATAGGGGGGGTCCTGGATGTGGATTTGATTAGAATTTCCGAGGGAGATATCTTCACCCGGGGAGCTCTTTTCGGAAACGTCATCCTGTACTTTTCGGACGACCGTTCCAGCTGGATTTGTTCAGGAATCTGCCCTCGAGGTGGCCGAGAGAACTTGTGGGAAGGGAGGGGGGGAAAATGTTGCCTAAGGGTTCCTTCTTCAGTAGGTTCGTGTAAAGTTTAAACGCCTTCTTCAGTAGACCTAAACGAAACCCCTTTCACACTGTGTTGTTGCTTGACATTAATCCAACAAGTGCAACAAAACAACATACTGGAATCAAATTGTATACAAATTCTGACATGAAAATAAATAAAGGAAATTATTGTAGAAATAACTTTTAAACTCTAGATATTTAGACTTTAGGAATAATTTGTTGAGTGTGATGTTTGAGTGGAAAGCTACAAACTCAATGAAAATAAAATTAAAATTAAACACGTGTTGATTGATAGAGGTTGCCTAGCCTCATAAATGTAGTTTTCAGTATGTGCTCAAATCAAACGCCATAGCTACAAATAATTATATTATTTAAATCGCATTTAATCATTCGAAATTGCATTACTACGATCAGAGGTCCAGTCTGTCATTCTAAGAAGCTATCGTTAACCAAACTTTTGTCATATGATTAAAGGTTAAGTAATGTGTCGTAAAGGAAAATTGTCAGTTATGATTTATCCCTAAGAACACGATACAGTAAAATACATTCAAACAAAATATATTAATATTGCATCAATAATAGTTTGACTTTGCAACATATCTTCCGTAAAACAAACCATGAAGTTTTACTTAGAAACTGAGGAATAATGAATCTCTTAAGAAATCAAAGTAGAAATTCAGCGCATTTGATACTAACATTACACAATTTAAAGTACAAATGTTCAACCATCTATACATATCCCAATACACCCAGCTTGAATAATTGAGCAACAAAAAATTCTGCAAATGTCGATTACGTTGCATTAAAAATAATTAACCAAAGCTCTATGACCCAAATCATGTTTTCGAACTGTGTACTGGCACTCGTTTTTTCTAGCAACCAATACGTTTCATGTGGTAAAAGGTGAACATTAAAATACATGATAAAAGTAAGCATTTCTTTACGTACATTTATAAAAACATGGTGCAAGTTCACTCTTCACCGTGCACACTCAGCAGTGCCCTCCATGTGAACCATCTTCCCCCCCCCCCCCCCATCTTTCAAGCCCAGCCACACTTACACTACTTGTGCCATTAGCGCTCCCACTTGAGAACACGATGGGCACTAAAATAGCCCCGCTCCCACTTGGTCTAACCGAGAAGTGCCACACCGAGAACCTGTGCCCTTCTCGTGCTCCCATCGCCCACGTGGCAGACTAAGCCTGAACGAAAGACATCCATCAATAAATATACCCATCCACTTGCATGAAACTTCCAAGTTGTTAGTTCCACGTGGAGGCCCATTCCTCTTTTTGCTCACATAGATAATACAGATATTTTTAGATTATTAACATACTGATAAATGGATGGGTTACAGTGTTGATTAAGTTGAACCCACGTAGTATTCAAATTTTTAGGTGGATATGGTTTTTCCCATGATTCCATTTCTACTTTAGCACCTGTTCCTGTCAATATCTGTCCACAATGTATGTATCGTCTGTATGAATGAAAATAAGTTAATGCATTGGATCCAGTGTATAAATTGAGTTCAGAATTTGGGTCCACCTCTAGCTCACTCTTGTCTAGAAAAGTAACTTTTTCTCTATATTGGGGTTCTATGCAATGAGCCAACGATATCCCATTCCTTGATCCTAGCATTTTTCATTCAGCACAATATGGTTGGGATTTGAATGGTAGGATACGGTTAATACTTGAGTGATATGTTCTATATTCAGAATTGCAATCACAACCCACTCAACGGGTTCTAAATAGCAACTTTGCTCCATCACATCTAATAACTTAAATAATTTTATTATTTCAAACATTGTGAGTGTGTGTGTGTGTGTAATATACATATATATATATATATATATATATCGAAAGGTGAACTCTTGGTTAATGCCTTATTCCTTCTACTTTTCAAATCACAAAATGTTTATAGAATAACCATCACATTAATATTAACAGTAAAAAAATAATTTGATTCTATGAATTTGAAGTAAATTTTTATTGCTTAACAAGATTAGCCCTGTTTCTTTATTCACTTGAATTAAAAAAAATACATATGTATATCTCACTCAGCGTTTTATGGATTTATATGAAAAAATAAATAAATATAACTGATGTTAGTTATTATTTTTCATTTCTGAATTCCTTAGAAAATAACCCTGCTAATCATGTTAGACTAATTTGCATTTATAATAAAACATTTTCTTACAAAGTCAATAACATTGCAGAATAAGAATATGCAAAGTACTTCAACAAAAATTTCATAGTAGTCCCGAGACTCTTCTTCAACACACACACATTCATATATATATATATATATATATGTGTGTGTGTATATAGATATATACTCAAATTAACTTGCAAATATAACAACCTTGAATCTAAAGATAATTAGGAAAAATACACTGTCAATAGAGTATTTTTCAGGGGGTATGTCATTTAAACCAAAATCCATACAAATCTGAGGAAATTTAACTGCTATAAAATCTTGTTCTGTTAGTTTTGTGGAATGTTAACAGCAGATTGATAAGAGAAATATACTTTGTTCAAGCTATGGATTGTGGTTTTTTTAGAACTAAAGTAGGAACCCTTTATAGATCTTTGTTGTGTATCTTTATGGATTTTTTTTCTTCATTATTATTAAATAATTTTAAAAAATAAATTTAAATTATTTATAATTAATATTCTTTAAAAAATAAAAAGATAAATATAACAATGGATTGTAAATTCAAAACAGAAAAAAAAATCTGTGTTAAAATTTCTTGATAATTATATCACTTAATAATTATTTTTGTAATAAAAAGATAAATATAACAATGGATTAGAAATAACCATTAAGGATTTGCATTTTTGTTGACATTTGTTCTTTTTATGTTTGACCTTTAATTTGAATTTAAAGTTATTTAAGTCTCTTTAGGTGTCTTTTTAAGCCATATTGTTGCTATTTTGAGGATACAAGGAGTTTTATGATAGATTTTGGAGGTCAACAAGTGTGTTTGCAATGACAATTTCATGATCTACAAAGGAATTTTTGCATTTGGAGTTTGTATAAAGAAGTTGTAGAACGTTGAAGACAATACATGTAATTCGAAGGCAATAAGTGAGTTGTTTTGTTGATAGTAATGGTTGGAGCCATATCTTGAGTTTTCAAATGATTTTTTGGCTCAAAATTTCCAAAAGTGTGTGTTATTAGGTTAAAAAACTACATATCAAAGTTTTATGGTATTTAAACTCTTAGTGTGTGAGATATGAAGAAATTTGCACACAAGTGTATGTAAGCAAGGGTTTGAAGCTACTATTAGGATTTTGATAATATCTTAAAATCCATAATAAATTTGGAGTTGAAGTTTATTGTGGTAGTTTTTAAAAGTATATCAATACTTCATGTAAAATTTTGGTTTGTTTAGACACTATAATTGTGAGATATGAGCTGTTGAAGTTTGGAAAAAATTCACCTTAAGGACATATAAGATTTTATAATATTTTATCACATTTTTTGTAATAGAATATAGTTAAGGTACTTCTATTGTTGACATAGAGCAATAGACAGATGGAACCATGTTTGAAAAGTTATGGATGTTACTAGAATTGGAGTTAGGTTAGTAGACTATATAGGACCCAATGTGGAACATTCTAGAAAGAGCTCATGGCAGTCATCTAAATGGAGTCTACCGTAGAACCTTCTAGAAAATACTTAGGATAATTATCTGAGTCAGGCCTATCATAGAACCTTCTAGAAAGAGTTTACGGTGGTTATTTAAGTAGGATCCATCATCTAAAAATATTCTATAAAGTTTAGGATAGTAGAACAAAGAATAAATGGGACTGACCAGGGTCTTTTGAGGTATTTGGTCAAATATGGCTTTAAACCTTCTTTATTAGTAAAGTCTCATTTTGCATCTTCTTATTCACTTCTATATCTTTTTATTTTTGTTTGCATAGTTTTTTCTTTTGTGTCTTTTTTAGTTTAATTCTATTTAGTTTTAGTTTTAGTTTTAGTTTTTTTTTTTTTTTTTTTTTTTTTTTCTATTCCATTTTATCTTATTTTGTGATGAAGTTTTATATTGCTGTGGATTTGAAGAATCTTAAATATTCAAGGTAAACTGGTCCTCTTTCATTGGTATGAGAAAAAATATTTGATTGTTTTTTGGTAGTCTATTGATAGCCATCATCTAATTTGAGGTTAATTGTTGTAATTATAGTAGATGTTGTGTTGAAGCTACTATGCATTATTCTTAAAAAGTCAACCAAAAGGTAAGAAAGCAATACAAAAGTGGAGTCCAACAAAGAAATTATAGCATGGAAGATATAGCAGAGCAATCTCAAATGGAGGCTCAAATACAACACCTTTTAGATTAGATAGCTACTTTGCAAGGACAAATACAAGCTTTCAAAACAAGAAAGTCAACATG